CACCACGACGCTTGTGCCAGGCTATGTACACCTTGAGGCCACGTGAAGTGTCGAACGCCCGCTGGCAGGAGGTCACGGGGCAGACCAAGGTGCCACGGGTCGACTGACTGAGATGACTGAGACGACTGGCTGATGCACCACCTGTGCCCCCTACTGTGCCAACTTGCTGTGCTTTAGCCACCCAGCACTCCACTCGTTGTTGTGAGCATCGCTCCTCCGCCCTCTGTTGTTGTTGGAGGGCGACTGCCTCCAACTGCCCAGTAGCGTCCTTCACGAGCCTCCTCCACAGAAGCCGATCTTGACACCGCTGGTACCAGTCATCGGCAAGTCCACTCAGCTCCACATCCTCTTGTACCACATCACTCAATCTCTTCTATAGTCCGTGCCGTGCCCGTTTAGCCCCCTCGATCCGGCCGAACAAAAGCTGTTTAGGCATGCGGTGACTTGGCATGCGGGCTACATGGCCCAGCCAACGCAGCCTTGTCTGCCGGAGGAGCTCACCGATGGGACTTTGTCCAGATCTTTCAAGGATTTGTGAGCTCCTCACACAATCCAGCCTGGTTAAACCCAGGATGGATAGTAGGCAGGCCAGCCTAAATGTTTCCAACCAGCGAAGATGTTCCATTAGAGGGGTCCATGTTTCGCAAGCGTAGAGAAGGGATGGAATGACTATGACAAAGAAGACCTGAAGCTTCGTGCGGTTCAAAAGACCAAGTAACTTCCACACAGCATTACGCAGCCGATAAAAAGATAATGCCACTCGACTGATTCGGAGTGAGACCTCTGCTGTTAAACCGGAGCCGGTCATAAGCACACTGCCCAGGATATGGGAAACTCTCCACTCTCTCCACAACTGCCCCATCACCAATTGGGAGTTGTGGGGGTGGAGTGTCCGATGGTACATAATACCCTGGCAGGTGCTTAGTTTTGGTAGGGCTGATGGTAAGGCCCCACCTCTTAGTGGCAAGCTCCAGGTTTAGCAGCAGCGTCTCCAACTCCTCCTCTGAGTGAGCAGTGATTACCAGATCATCGGCAAACAAAACATGGTTGAGCAATAGGGAGCCATACCTTGACCGCACCTGGGCATCGATTAGCCTCCCATTATATCTCTACTAGATGGAAATTCCTCCAGTGCAGCTATTGAAGGCCTCACAAACTACGTGGTCAAAATAGATGTTAAATAATGTGGGAGCCAGAGGACATCCCTGTCGCACCTCAAGGTGTATAAGGAATGGCTCTGACTCCTGGCCACGTCGTTTCACCCGGGCCTGCTCACCATTATGAAGGTCCTTAATGATCGTGAGCAGAAGGTCAGGGACTTTGAAAGCACGAAGAACAACCCAGAGCCCAGGCCTACTGATGGTATCATAGGCCTTGACCAGGTCAATAAAGCAGAGATGTAGGTCTTGTTGGAATTCCCTACACCTCTGCTGTAGCAGACGGACAGAAAATATGGCATCCGTGCAGGACCGCCCTTTCCTGAAACCACATTGAGGCTCCGCAAGCCTCTCCTCAGCGTGCGTAGCAAGGCGATGTTGAATAATCCTTGCCAGGACCTTTCCCGGCACACTGAGGAGTGAGATGCCCCTGTAGTTGTTACAGTCTGTGCGGTCCCCTTTCTTAAAGAGGGGGACAACCAGGGCATCCTTCCAGTCACAACCACACATACTGACACACACACACACTGAAACACACAGACACTGACACACACACAACCTCACACACAACCACACACAACAACACAACCACACACCCACACACTGACACACACGCGCGCTCACACGCCGCGCGCTCCCACACTGCGGTGGCTGCATTAAGCGCCGACTCATTAATTAGAGAGAGAGGTGGGGGGGTGTTGTGGTCGGCGATGTTTGCTTTGTCGGCAAACGGTGCCGTGTGCAGCCGGCTGCCGCTAATAAGGCCCTCGAATGTGTATGGGGGGCCGGGTGGGGGGGTTGGTGGTTGGAAGGGGATGGTGGGGGGCAGGGGGTAAGAGAGTGGGGGTGCAGGTGCGACTCCCGTGTTTGCGAGTCGCCCCTCCCCTCCGCCCCCCATGTCTTGCTGAGCCCCCCCCCCCCCACCGATCGCTCCAGACGGTCATTAGAGCGAGTGGAGGAGCCGTTGCTTCGCAGCCCCCGACACTTTGACCCCTCCTGTTGCCACAAATTACGATCAGCCCAAAGCGAAATCGCGCCCGCCAGCGACTATTTATAGGCCGGGGTATTGATTGCGAGCGTATTTACGCGTCTGTAGTACGGTATATAGAAAACGACTTAGGTTTCTATCCCCCCCCCCACCACCGTGGGGCAAGTGCAGTTAGCGAGTACCTATGAAGGCACGCTGCTGATGTTGACAGGTACTTGTTTGAGTAATCTAATCCTAGCCAAGTAATCCTGGCCTAGAGCGTGCGTGGTGGTGGTGGTGGTGGTGGCGGCAGCAGCACTGTGGTTCAGGAGCTCGGTGGCAATGTCGAGGTCTGCTGCTGGGCACGGCGAGTGGGGCATCAGGAGAGACAGAGAGAGAGAGAGAGAGTTCGTGTTGTTCTGTTGTTCCTCCTCCTTCGTTGACGCAGCGCAGTGGCTTTACTGCGGCACGCATTCCCTCGCGATTGCATAACGATGCGCAAGAAGGACTGCGTCAGATTGCGGAGTCCTGCGACAAACAAAAGACAATCACCGACTGCTGAGAGATTTCCAAATGGATTCTTCATCGCAAAACACGGTGCCGATAGCAGAGTTGAGATAAACCAAGGGTGAGGGGTGGGGGGTGGAACAGGAGGCTGGAATGGAACGCTCTTGCTATTTCCATTACCCCGAGCCAAATAGAAATCATGCGACGATACCGTCAGCGACGTCTAAGTCCGTGTTGATGCCGCTACAATCCCAGGTACATTTGCGTGTTGCCAAAAAGAGAAAAAGCTCATCCCCGCCTGTGAAAAGAATAAAAAAGCAACACTGCTGTCCGGTACCTTCATATTAGAACAACACCAACAAAAACAACTAACAACTACAGACACAGAAAACTAGTGCAAAGTTTGCGGTGCTGATCGCAAGAGACAAGCGAGACGCGGGGAGACAAATGAGGAACGGAGAACGGGAAAACTTTTATTCCACGTTACTTCGAGTGGGGGGAGAAGGCGGAGGAGAAGTGAGGGAGGCAATTTAGTCACCATCACAGCGAGATGGGAGAGGGGGGGGGGGAAGGCAGCCCGGTCGGAGCCGTGCAATCGCCTGCCGTGCACCAGGGAGATTACATTCGGAGGCCGGCCCGCTACGGTTTGTCAGGCCTCTTGAGCAGTGGGGGAGTTGGGAGGGGGGGGCAAGGGGGGGCACGTTGGCCTACGGGATGCATAGCGGCCGTGGCGGCGGCAGTGCGAGGAGCTTGTGTGTGTGTGTGTTTTTTTTAAAGAGCTTTATATATATTTATATATATTTATTTGAAAAATCCCTTGTGTGGAGGAGGTCAAGCCCCAGCAAATATGAACCCGGAGTGGCGACGGGGCTGTCGAGGCACGCGCTCGATTTTCTGGGGGGTGGGGACGGGGCGCGGAGCCCCCACCCCACGGGCTCGACTGGGAGCGCCCCCCTACCTGCTCCCCCCCCGTCTCCCGGCCGTGCCGACCCCGCGTGATTGAAATAAAATCCGCTGCGCTCGCCTGCTCAGCTCTGCCGGAATCCCTCGGCGCAAGTAGTGGTGGCCAAGTGGCCCAGGGCCGGTCGTGGCTGTTGGCACGCGGCCGGCACGAGGGGGGGGGGGGCAGTGACCCCACGGAGCCCGGCACGAGGGGGGGTGGCAGTGACCCCGCGGAGCCCGGCGGGAGAGATGTCCCCACCGTGGGGCGAGTCGCCCACACGACCCCCACGGCTTGTGGGCGAGGCAGGAGGCAGGTTTCTTAGAGGAAGTCGGCCCAATGCAATCTCATCTGCTGACATCTACAACGGTGCTCCTTGTTGCTGTGCCAAGCAATGGTGGTAAAACAGAATCACCATCCTTCGTCTTACACGAGTGATGCGTGTGCCTTGCCGGCCTTCATAGCTGCTACTCGCTCACAGTACGAGCCCCAAAAGTCTGCTAAAGGCTACACGGGGGATCTTTTAATTTGTCTTTGTGGGGAGCAGTGGCACGGTGGTTAGAGCATTGCACTACGAACCCTGGTGACCTGGGTTCGACGTCCGGTCACGACCAACATCAGTGGCCCGTAATATCTGAACCAGTCGCAACCAGTTCCGGGCCTCCCTGAGGTTTATCCAGCCCTCAAATGGTTACCTCAAGTTCTGCATAAACATCGGTACCTGGGAGACAAAGGTGGTCGGATGTGGTGAAGGCCACACCGCCATTCCATTGTCTCGTGATGATCGAGAATTTGGAAAAGTTTTCTGACCAAAAATACTTCACAACAACAACAACAACCGTAATTGTTCTTGATTAAGTTTGAGAGATATTCGTCTTGATTAGCTCATTTAAAATCCGAGACTTGTGTAACTGCATTTATAATAATGTTTTGCAATATTAAGTTGATAAATGCAAAGTTGGAGCAGCGGCATCGGTGCGCAATGGCCTACACTTGTGCTTACGCTAATTGCTTAAAACTTTGTTTTCAATAATAATAAAAAAGGTCAATTATGCAGCCGATGCAATAATTCCCTTACGATGGAAAATTAACGGACCGCTCTCCGATTCCCTCACCCGATCTGTGCAGATTTCCAGTTCTAAACTTACTGAGCTGATCCGCCGGTTGACTGTTTATGCCTTTGCTCAGGTCGGCAGATTGAAGCAGACACCTCTAACGTTGTGTGTGTCTCTCTCTCTCCCGTCTCTTTCTCTATTTCCCTGCCCATATCTCTCTCTCTCTATCTATCTCCCTTTACCTCTCCTCGTCTCTCACTCTGTCCATTGCTGCTCTCCTCCAACCTTGACACTGCCTTGACTATCCCTCTCTCCCCAACCTCCCCGTCTTCCTCCCTCTCTCCCTCTCTCTCATCATGCCTTCACACCTTTAGGCTGGACAATCTCCTAAACATGGCTTACGGAGTAAAGAGGTAATTTCTTCCCCCCCCCCCCCATGGCCCCGCCCCCTGCCCCCCTCCCCCCGGACCCCTCAACCCCCACCCCCCAGGACCCTGTCCTACACCTGCGGTTGCTCTTTGTCATACATTTTATATTTTTTCCCACACTCTTCGCTTTCAATTTCTAGGTTAAGCACCCCCCCCCCCCAACCTTCACGGCCACTTCTTCCCAACGCCGACAGCTAATGTTCATTTTCTGTTTGTTTTTCTTTTTAGAACGAGGAAGCTTTGCATTTTGCTCTTTTTGTTTGTTTGCATATTGAATGATTACAACGACGCGATCGCCGCGTCTCGGCATGGAATTTCCGCTCGCATTTCCTGCAAAAGCCTCTCATATTCCTCATCCGCACGCCCGCGTTCCTCTTTCATTTAATTTCTCTTCCCGTCGCTCGGATTGCTTTTTGATGGCATTACCCCCCCCCCCCCTCGCTCGCGCACGCGCGCGCAAGCCAGAAGCGTCGTGCGTGCCTCGGCCAACCGCAAACGACACAACGCTTCCCCGACGCGCGCGCGCACCCACAAATATAATGACAATTTTTTGTTCCGAAACAAATCCCCCTTCCCCCACCCCACCCCCAAAAAAAGAAACATCGCCGTTTAATCGACGGTTACAAAATGCGGGCGTAATTTTTAACCTCCGGCCCCCGTCGTCCCGTCCCGCGCTGCTGGGAGCCGGCGATGCGCTGCCAGGCCGCGACGCGGCGCGCGCGAGAGAGGGAGAGGATTTCACCAGGAGAATCTCGGGGAGGGGGGGCGGGGGGGTGCGAACCCATGTCCACCATCGGCGATTGTGCCCACGGTAGAAATTCCTTTGGCCTCCGCCGGCCTGGTGGGGGGGGTGGGGGGGGAACGGTAATTTTTTGTCGTGGGGAAATGAGAAGTTAGCTTCGCGAGGAAAAAAAAACCACCGACAACGCACGAGTGGTGGGGAAGGACGGAGTGGGCGGGTGGGCGGGCGGGTGGGTGGTGGGGGGAAGGAAATATAGAAAAAGCAATAAAAACCATTTGCTTTATTTACGACTCAATTTATCATTAAAACGGCCGTGAAATTCCTGAAGGGAGGAGGCGATAGGCTTTTTTCAAGCCGGGTCGTTTCTCACCAAGCCGTCATTGCCGTTTTTACGCATTTTTTTGTTGTTTAGCTGAGCTCTCTCCCTCTCCTCCTCTCCCCCCTCGTTGGCGATCAATGTTAATTCTGCCCGTCGTAAAGTGTGACTCGGTTTGGTCGCGTTGAACCTGGGAGGGATGAAGGCGATGGGCGTGGGGCGGAGGGTGGCGGCTTTCTAGGCTGGGGAGGGGGGGCTGTTGGGGGGAATTGTCGGCGATTGGTGGGGGGGGGTGGGCGAGCAGGGTGGGAGATGATGGGTCAAGAGGTCAGATATTCTCCAGACGCGGGCAGACACAGAGGCGAGGTTGGGGCGTCAGCGGAGCCGTCGTAAACAAAACCGGCTTTCAACATTTTCCACCGATCGATGACTCCCCTTTGATATTCACGGCATTCGGTTTTTTGGCCCTCCTGCGCGCACCCCGGGTAGCCGCCGCACGGGGACAAGCAGGCACGTCGTGGCGATTCCACATTCAAGTCTGCTTATTTCTCTTTATTACCTCTGTGCTAAAAGGAACCAAAATCGTTCATTCTTTCCATGCCCTCTCGCCCCTCCCCTCGTTGTGCGAATCCTGACACCCGCCCCCCTCCTTGCATTCGTACACTTTACACATCCAAACCGTGATAGTTCCGTTGTAATTGCAGATTAGATTGTAAAGCAACGGAGCTCACAGTTATGCGAATGGAGAGTCGAATTCCTGGCCTCAGCGTACTGAATCCCATTATCATTGCCATCATCGTCGTCATCGGTATCACTGTCATCATCGTCATCACCATAATCAGGATCACTAACATCATTAATGATGCTGCAGCACCGCTGAGCAGGAAGTCACCGGTGAATAATATGTTAATAAGCAGTAACTGGGCCTCGTCACGGTAATGTGGAATTTCCACCACCTAGCCATAGGGCTTCCCGACGGATGCTCGCTTGAACGGTTGGGGGAAAAAAACACTTTTAAATTTGTTTTCACTCCGCAAACCAAACCCTAATTCTCATTGTGGGAGACGACAGAGATCCTGGAAGGGGGGTGGGGGGGGCGACATCCATCAGTGGGGGCTTTGGTGGTGGGCTCCGGTCTCACTCAGTGGTCGCCCCTAGTACAGAACAACTGCCCCCCTGAGACGGACGGTGGGTGACAGCGGCGTTAACGCCGTCCCCAGCAGACACGGGCGCGTGACCTCCGCGGGGTTCGTGGGCGCGGAACGGTGCACGCGAACTCATTTGCATGTGGAATTGTACACCGCACAGGACCGCTGGGCCCATTAGCAACCTCAGCAGCTGCGGGGGCGATGATACATTGCCCGCGATTACACAATGGGCAGGTCATTCATCAGTTGGTTAGTGTTGTTTCTTATATTTACGAGTCGCTGAAACAACACGTTATGGATTCAAAAAGTAAAAACACCCCCTTTCGTCCAGCCCTCCGTGCAGTCAACTCACTGCCCCTGTTTAAATAATAATCAGTAATAAGAATAATGATGCCAACTCTTAACGACTCGAGAGGCGCCAGGAGGAGGAATCACAGACAAGCGGCACAGTGAGCCGGTGCCAAGAATTGCCCAAGCTCTGCGGTCCTCTATATATACTGAAAAGTTATCGGCCAATGAACCCTTTCCCGTTCCGATACTTCTGCAAGTTTCAGGGTGGGGGGGGGGGGGGGTCTCGTTCACGGAATCTCCGGACGCGCAAGCGGCTCGGCATTAATTTTAAAGATGTTGCACTCACCGCAGAGAATCGTAGCGACACGACCGCACTCTACGATAGCTGGCACCAAACTGCGCCACACACGCCCCTCACCCCGCATGGCCTTCTGGGAGCCTCGGTGCATCTTCCGACCTGAAGATTACCGACAAAGTTCTTTGTCTAAATTTTTTCACTTTTCTTTCTGATAAAGTTCTTCAACAGTTTGTTTTCTTCCGGAATAGGGAAAAATAACTGATGACGTACACGTACGTCATCGGAATGGGAAAGGGTCAAGGTGGTTTCAGCCAATAAATGAGCATTTACAAGTCGAGATTCCCTTTTGCCCTGGCTGGCTGAGTGCCCCCTTCTCTCTGTACGATCAACAGAGCCCCCGCCCCCGTCCCCCCCACCCCTCCACTGCTCGCAAGCAGCATCCAGAGACACGCTGACACTTAAAGACGCTACGTCGAACTGCCTCTGTACCGCTATCGTTGCTTACCCCAGTGTCTCTCCGCACAAGCGAGCAACAGGTGATGCTCACCTCCGTGTGGCAGCCCTGCGCCAGTGGTGGAAATTCCACATTCGTATGACAGGGGCCAGTCGCTCCAGCGGACAAGCAACTGTTGATTTCCCGTGAAGTAGGTATTTAGTCTCCCCACCCCGGCGCTAGGGTTTAAGCGCCACGTGGGTCGAGCGATTTCACCACAGCACTCGGGCGGACCATATAATATTCTGTATATGACCAGCGTGGTGACGTACGGTCAAACAACTCGCAGGACCGACACGCATGGGGGAGAGCCTTTATTCAGCAGCGGATTGGCAAAGTGCCGGAAATTATTGATGGTAAAATTAAAAAAATTGTACGTGCAGACCGTACATGAAGTCAGTCGGAAATGACTCCCGTTGGCGCGTATAATCATAGCGACAGTCATTTTACCGGTGCTCCTTGGCTCACACGTTGAGATGTACACGTTGGCAATTAAACACGAGCCCTTCGCCTTGTGTCCCACCTAAACCCTCACTTGAAGCGGTGTGAAAAATCACGCAACCGTCGCGTTCGCGCGGCCCCCCCCCCCCCGCCGGCGACGCGCCGCGATCACGCTCGCAGCGGCGCACTCCGTGACATCCAGACGCACGCCCGGCACTCGGAGCGGGAGTATCGTGACCGGTAGAAGGCGGCGCAGCGAGTTGTGGGTTTTCGTCGACCTAAATAGTTTGAGTCCGCTGCGCACGTGAGGACGTCCGTCGAATCGCTCGTTTGCCCCGAGTGTTCCCAGCGTAGCGGGACCCCTCCCCCCTGTAAAGGAGTCCTGATACTCTGCGAGGCTTTCCTAGGTAAATAATGGATGTTATTGGAACATTATTATTCATCTCTTGCCTCTCGCTTTGCCTACATTTCACCGTTCCCTTGCGGGAGAGGCATTAACATTTTTTCTTAAACACGCTTAATCTTATTAAAGTCAGATGTGCTGTTAATAATTGGTGTTTGCATACTCGACGCGTGCGCGAGCACGGTAATTCGGCCATTAAACCCGCGAGCACGCACCGTGGCACAGTAATTTTTATATTATATATTTTTTGACGAAACGATTGTAAAAATGAGCCATGTTGATGCGAAACAAGGCGCTCAGAATGGCATCCGACACAAAATCCCCCTGCCTCTCATCTGACGTAAAAGGTTTAAGGGTTTAATTCGAAATGCCATGTCACCCCCGCTCAACGGGACGCATCAAAACATTGCACAAACACGTTCCAAGATAAAATCGGGTAAAATTCCCAACCCTATAGGACGCTTAACAGAAAGCAATGAGGCAGCAGAGTCCCTCATTCCCTCCTGAACCAAACAAAATTTTGAACTGGAACTATTTGTTATTTTACGCAGGTAAGGGCCCACTGAGCCATGTCACTCTTTTTCAGAAGCGACCTGGCCATCACAAACGATAGCTCAACGGAGTAGCAGCCAAATACTCTAAGCGCACGTTGATTCTCAAAGTCGACGGAAAAATCGGAGAACCCGGAGAAAAATTTACGCGACCACAATGAGAGAGAGATGAAACTCATGACTCCATGTGTACCAGGCGAGGGAGTTAACATCTTGCCACCGTGGCGCCCCAGGCAGCGAGGCCTCGCTGGCGCTAGGAGCGGTGCTCAAGGAGACCCCCGCCACCGGGTGGTGGCGTCGGGCGCAGGCTCCGTGTCTGGGCGAGTTGAGCCCTGCTCCGAGCTGTCACAGCACGTGGGCCCCAGTGGCACGAGGGACCAAGCGGGCCCCTAGATCTATATATAGGTAATAGGTCCAAGGCCGTGCTCGGCTTACTCGGCAAAAGATCTCCACGTTACGCCGGAGACAGAAGCTGACTGGAAGGCAGCGGCGCCGAGTCGTGGAGAGGGGGGGTCACGCGCTCGGAGCGGGCGACGTGCCTCGGAACTCGAGCCGTTCCGCACTGGCCGAATCCGTGTTGTCGGTGGATACACCGGAGTAGGTGGCACGTGACTGCAAGCCGTAGCGAGAGGAGGTATAATAGACGCGGTTGTACCGGGAGGCAGGTAGACCGGGCGTGGCGCGGCGAAGGACGCTGCTCCCGTGCCTGACGGAGCGCCGCATCTGCTGCCCCCCCCCCCTCTCCGCCCCTCTGCTCCGCAGGTTCTCCCCGCTCACCATCGACAGCGTGACTAGCCTGGCCGGCGTGGCAATCCCCGGCCACACGGGCACAGGCTGGTGCATCTTCGTGTACAACCTGTCGCCCGAGGCCGACGAGGGCATCCTGTGGCAGATGTTCGGCCCCTTCGGAGCGGTGACCAACGTGAAGGTGATCCGCGACTTCGCCACCAACAAGTGCAAGGGCTTCGGCTTCGTGACCATGACCAACTACGACGAGGCCGCCATGGCCATCGCCAGCCTCAACGGCTACCGACTCGGTGACCGTGTCCTCCAGGTCTCCTTCAAGACGAGCAAAGCTCACAAGGCGTAGTGCGGTGGGGTGGGTGGGTGTGCGGCTGAGCGGGAGAGAGAGAGAGAGAGGGAGGGCGGGTGGGGGATGAGTTGTGGGGATGGTGCGGGGAGGAAGCCGGGCGGGCGGGCGTCCCGCTCCCGACTCGGATCGGACGCCGCCGCGGTTAACGTGGCGGCACCGATTTGCGTGAGAGAGGGTGAAACACGATTACCCACGACTTGGTTCCGTTTTGACTTGTGTGGGTTTTTTTTTGGGGGGGGGGGGTGGGGTGGGGAGGGAGGGGGGGGCGGTTTCCTTCAGGTTCTCTTTTTTCTTTTCAAAAACGACAAAGGTCACCCGTCCACCGACCTCGAGGACATCCCGTCGCCATTAATCCGAGGTCGCTATTTATTAATTGACTTAACTTATTTATTTATTTGTTGGCACGCCTGCTTGTTATTTATTTGCTTCCTCGCTGCGGCTTGATCTTTCATCGGGAGGGGGAGAGCCGTAGGCGCCTGGAGGCGTGCGAGCGCGGCCTTTTCTAGGCACGCGGACGACAATGCGGTTATCGTTCGTTTTTTTTTCTCTTCCGAAAGTAAAATTATCTCGCAAACTGATTTTTTTTTTTGCTAATAAGAAGCTTGCGTGCTTATTCGTAACAGAGAACAAATTGCAATGCTTTTTCTTCTCGTGAGTTCAGTGACTCTGCGACGATGTCACTCTGACGACATCGCCAGTGGAACAGTTGGAGACTTTTGTGCGCACAGGTACTGGAACAAATGACGACAGGTAGATTTGTATGGCGCGTAAAGATATGAATGCCCTTTGTACATTGGTGTTGACTTCCGTGCGGCAATTTGAAAAGATGAATACTTTTTGAAATGAAGTAGACAAATCGCCGACTTATTATATCACCGACTTGGTAATGCGAATGAGCGTTTGTGGAATCATTTTCTATGGCTATGAAACCCAAGTTGGCATCGGCTACGTGCGACGGATAAAAAAATAAATATTTACGAAAATAAATTATCGCGCATTGCTTTAGAGCCGTGCCGCTAAGCTGAACTCTTGTCACGAGGCGATAGACGTTGAAGCAGGAAACAAGGGACATTTACGTAGCCTCAGCTGAAACAAAAACAAAAAACGATGCAGTTATTATATAACGTAATATATAATAACTTTAATCTTGAATGTGAACCTTCAATTTTTATTGTCTTTTTTTCTCCCGAACTCTTAATTTTCGTAGTTTTTTGTGTTCGTTTGTGTTCATCACCCCCGTGGCACCGTAGTTATTTATCTCTCTGAGCCAGTGCTCCTCTTCATTCTGTTTGTTTCTCTGGCCCACGTCGTGAGGCTTCAGTTGAGTCGCCCTGTGCGATCGTTCAAAACACCGATCCCCATTGTGCATCACTGTTGTTATTGTTGTTGCTATTATTATTGTACACGTTTCCTCGTTCCGTCTTGTCACCAATGCAAAAGGGTCTTTAATCATCAAATAAATAATTTATCGATCCGTTATTTATTATCATATTTATTGGTGTTGTTTATTAATCTATTTATTACTTATTTATTGTTACTCGGCAATTGATGTTTCAACGCGAGTTGCTTTTTCACGCAAGTACTTATAGCCGGACGGCGGAGATTACAAATTGATGAGACAAAACAAGGTCGGGCCTAAATCGTCGCGTAAACATTTAAACCCTAAACCCTGGGGATGAAGAGCAGGGGGCATCTATTTACCACGGAGGAAATACAAGTAGAATCGTTAAAATCGCAACGAGCTTACTTGTAAAAATAATTACACTCGAGCCAATTACTACATCGGTAATACTAATGATGACGATTACGATCATAGGAATAACCAACAAACAACAATAATATTAATAATAATAAAACTACTTGCCAAAGAGAGCATTCGCGAACTTATAGGTTTCCAAAAAATGAAAAATAAAAAAGCGTCTATTTTTATAAAGAAATTTGCCGGGTGGACATTTTTACAGGCTGGGATATCATAACTATTTAGACAGACGGGGGGGGGGGGGCTGGGGAGGGGGGCTTGGGGGGCTGGGGGGGGCGAGGTTCGTGGGTAAACACTGGGGTTGGAGAGACACGCGTGTGTCAGGCTACTACAGCCAGCCCTCACCCAGGCCACGCGAATGCTCAAATTTCCGAGCAGCGACGGTGGGGGGCATTGACGGCGGGGAGGAGGGCGGGCGTGGGGGGGGGCTCAGACCCACCCGGAGCGCCGTCAAGCCCCCCACGTCGCAGCGCCCTGCCCCGCCATGCGGCGTGGGCCGTGCGACGTATTTAACTCAAAATCGCTAAATAATCTACACATTATATATATATATCAGTGAGGGGGTGGGTGGAAGCTGATGAACAATGAGTGACGACGCCCGGAGGCTGAAAGCATTTGAGCCTCGATTTGGTGGGGGGGGGGGGGGGGTGTGGGGGGGGGTGTGGGGGGGGGGGGGCGGGAGGGGTGGGGGGGATTAGTGGGGTTATAAGGCAGCCGCAGCAGAACTTAAACTCAAACTCCGCGTAGTGAACGGACCGTGGCCGCGTGTTGTTACACTTACATTGGGTATTTGCTCAGCGCGAGCGGTGTGACCCCGAGCGGTGTGTGACCCCGAGCGGTGTGTGACCCCGAGCGGTGTGTGACCCCGAGTGGTGTGACCCTGAGCGGTGTGACCCCGAGCGGTGTGTGACCCCGAGTGGTGTGACCCCGAGCGGTGTGACCCCGAGTGGTGTGACCCCGAGCGGTGTGTGACCCCGAGCGGTGTGTGACCCCGAGCGGTGTGACCCCGAGCGGTGTGTGACCCCGAGTGGTGTGACCCCGAGCGGTGTGTGACCCCGAGTGATGTGTGACCCCGAGCGGTGTGACCCCGAGTGGTGTGTGACCCCGAGCGGTGTGTGACCCCGAGTGATGTGTGACCCCGAGCGGTGTGACCCCGAGTGATGTGTGACCCCGAGCGGTGCCCCGCGCATGCTCACGTGGACGCGCGCACGCGAAACGTTCGCTCCATTACTTACCGAACGGTTTGCTCTTTTTTTTGCGTTTCGTTTTTTTTTTCTCCCAGAGTTTAAAGAGTAAAAAAAAGAAATCTGTTGATCGCGCGCCCGACTTTTGTTCCCCCCCCCCCCCCCCCCTCGTTAAATTTTGCCTCGAAAGCCACCTCCAAGTTACGATGTCCGGAAACCCATTCCTTCCAGAGCTATCGGAAACAAAACGTTCGAACAAAAAAAACAGAAAGGAAAGATCAACCTGTCGTCGAGTGCGACACTCACCGCGTGTTGAAGGTACGAGTCGAAAAGTGGAGCCGATGCGCTCGCATCGGCACCTGCATCTGTGCTCTCAACCGTATCTCGGCACCACCAAGTGTTTTTGCAACAATGGAAAAAAGCAATAACGCTAAAATATCAACTCCGCAGAGCGGTGCACAAACGCAAACCCAGCCCGCCAGCTTGCGCGCCACGCACAGGCTCTTAACGTTGTAACGTTATTAAGGATAACGACGATTATTATTATGTTAATTGTACTTAAATATATGCACACTTGCCAAACACACAGTGATCAAAGATTCTCCGGTCAGCCACGACGGACTGTTGTGGGGCAAAAGTGCTCTTAACGGGCACATTTTAAAGGCCAAACGCAAGCGCACACGCGCGCACAAAGACGCCCGCAACGCACGCAGCTACGCGCTGTCCATCTCTTCCAAACAGACACGCGGTGACACAACGCTGAATTCCATTGGGCCTGCGCTCGCCACCTTACGCCGTAGTGCGGGGAAAGAGGACAGTCTCTCTCTCTCTCTCTAAGTGCTTCATGTGCGGCGGTCGATGATCAAAGGTGACGGGGGGTGCTGGGCAAACTTGCACATGCCATAGGTGGGCCGAGAGAGACAGAGAGAGAGAGACAGAGAGAGATGTAGAGAGCGAGAAAGAGAAAGACGAAGAGCAACAGAAAGAGGGACACAGAGAGAGAGAGAGGCTTAGAGAGAGATAATTTAGGTCCTTCACAACACACACAGGCCATATCACGTGCTAGGTGAGAACAAATTTGTTTGCGCAGTGACGAGCTGCAATTGTCAGGGTGTGCATATGTGCAATTGCTTTGTGTCAAAACACAATCATATCAGCCGGAGGGCTAATCGGAGGCGAATATATCACCGGCATCACTCTCGTCATCCTCGTCACCATCATCATCATCGCCGCCATCATCACCATCATCGCCGCCATCATCACCACCATCATCGCCGCCATCATCATCGTCATGGAACACTACAGACAGGAGGAGGAAAGGAGAGAGAGAGAACAAAAAAAAGCAGTTCTGAAAAACGACAAACGGAATATAAAACGACTAAAAAAAAAATAATCGCGACATTATAATGACACAACTCTGTCTCGTAGTGCATATCTTGGTGTATTTTTGCTGTACTTGTCTTTTCGTTGTGGCTGCGTTTAGTTATGACTTTATACTTATCTTGCTTATCTTGCGTATCCTATTTACGAGTCAGCTTGGTTAAACTTATTATGAATGGAACGTTTGCAGGTCATTTTCGCAGACTGAATGCAATCATTGAGATCCCCTAATCCATGTCTCGGGCGTTTAGCGAGTGTGTGTGTGTAAACGTCTTACCTTATACAGCACGCACGGTTTTTACTCAGCGAGCCAGACAAATTCCCACCGGATGATGCAAAGAAACAAAACGAACAAAGCTTTTTAAAGAAATGTGGAAAAAAATGAACAACAACAACAACAAGTAACGATGACGATACAACCATTTACCTGTGCAGCTTTCCAGACGAGAATCCTGTGAACATCACACCGCAAACGATCGGGTGCCGAGGAGGGAGATCGAGTCTGGGTATCTAACCCGACGGGGCGGACATATGGGATTGGGAAGGGGGGGGGTTAGAGAGAATAATTGATTGTACGATATGGTCCAGGGGGGGGGGGTGTAGGGCGGGTTTGGGGGGCTATATCATTTTCCGCCAGGCTATTACAGCAAGCGCGCGTTTTGTTAAGACGCTCGGGCGCAAAACAAGCGATGGTTCCTGAATTTTCTCGCG